AAGATCCTTGTAAAGAGCAGAGCCCACGTGAAGGGTCACTGTTGCTTGGATCCCAGGGAAGTCCTGCCTTCCAACCACTGAGTCAACCACAGGGACAGGGACAGGTGCAGCAACTGACTTTCCTTCTTGGGTGCATCCTCTATGTCATTCAGTTGCCTTATTTTTAAACCTTTATGAGTGTGAGAGAGTGTGTGTGTGTGCATCTGTATAAAATTAATGAATGGCCCAACAGATACTAGTTATGGCTGTTCCATAAAACCAAATATAACTCAAATTGCTTTGCAAGATGCATGCTATTTTGGATTTCCTGGTTAGGTCTGTCTTGACAGTCCAGCCACTTTTGACTGTTTTAGCCATAACCAGCGTGTCTGACCGTTGACCATCCCAGCAAACCGCTGCCTTCAGCATTGCATCACAATCGGTGTTTTCACTTACTCTCAATTGGGAAGCCGTTGACTCTCCACTTGACTGTGGGTTCAGGTTCTCCTTCAGCCTCACATAACAAGATACCACTGCTCCCAGTGCTGTACACGCCACTCTGAGGTTTCTTTGTCCAGCGAGGGGGCTCTGGAAATAGAGTGAAGAGCACATCAGCATTTTATCTATCACAGAAGGTCCGAAAAGGTTAAGGCCTGTAGTTCTGATACACACCAGCAGAGGGCAGACACAACAAAGAGTTTCACACTAGCTCTTGGTAAATGTTTTTCTAAAGCAAGATATGGACATTGTTTTTCGCGTGGAATAGGGTGTGTGTGTGTGCGTAATTTGGAATCTTAGCATGTATAATAAAATCAACACACCAAAAATAGTTGTCTACAGTCACTTTATTTAGCTACTGGTGAAGTATCCATGTCATTACAGAAAATGGAGGGATAAACACATTAAGTTTTATCTAAGTGCTGCTTACAGCTATTTCATGCTGTAGCATGGCATACAAAATGGCTGATATTCAAGAAATAATTTTGAAATTTTTTTAATACAATTAAAATGTTCAGCCATTATTTTAAAGATTTCTTAATTAATGACTTTATAGCATTTTTATGTCCAAATCTAATTATCTGTCTTAAGAATTTGGCAAACATCATTGCCTAGAATTTTTTTTTTTTTTTTTTGGTAAGGGATAAGACAAGGAATCCTATAAGTAAAATTTACTTTTTTGCTCTAGAAACAATGGAAGAAAAGATGTATTTAAATCACTTGTATCTTTCTATGCCCTAATGCTCCAATATTGTAATTCTAAGTAGTGTTTCAGTACAGAATGAGACATTTTTCTTTGGTGCAAACATTACTGTCATGTTTTGTCACCTTAAGTATATTACTATGTCAGGAGTGAATAAAAGATTCCGATTAAAGTGTGGATGGTTTGGGTAATTTGATTGCAGAGAAAATTGCATAATACCTGCAGGTAGTAATTCCCATCAAGTGTTGCTTGGTTATTTCCCCCAGGACATTTTCAGATTTCCATTTTTGTCAAAAAGGAAAGTCTTTAAAGATACATATATGTGTAAAATGAAACATGTCGTTTAAACAAATTTCTTTGAGTAAAACTGGAAAAGGAAAATTATAGGGGGGAAATGCCTACAAATTCACCAGGAAAAACAAAAATATACAAATATCCCTGGCAAATGCAAGTCTGAGCAAAAGTAGTTGCCCTTGTAATTATTCAGTAGGGTATGGACTTAATTAAATTCCAAATTAAATATTTGTGTTCACAATTTGCAATCTGTAAATATTTAGTCATTTAGTTTAAAATGCAGCAGTGCAGATCATAAACTGCATATGATCCTCTGAGGTGAAAGGTTTTAGTTTTTGTATGTGTTGGCATTTTTTTATATCGTTATTTTTTTTTTTTTGGTCTTTTCATATAACCACAATAGAATTAAACATTTGAGTTAGAGAAAAAAGCTCCATGAATGTGAAAATTTTCATATTTACAGCAGAAAACTAAGACTGTTGCTTTCAGAGCTTGTGAAAAATACAGGAGAGCATGGGATGTAATATACAGCATGGTGACTATAGCCAAGAAATAATACTGTATTGTCTACTTGAAAATTGCTGAAAGAGTAGATCTTAAAAGTTCTCATCACAAGAAAAAAAATGTAACTATGTGGTGATGCATGCGAACTACACTTATGGTGGTGATCATTGAGCAAAATAAAGAAATATCAAATCATTGTGTCGTATACCTGAAACTAAAAATGTAATATATCAATAGTATCTCAATTAAAAAATAATAAAGGATATCATGTAATGATGACCTTTCTCTAAATCTTTATGAATAATATAATCAGGATTTCTATTTCTAGTTTCAGCCTACAAATTTCATTAATCCTTTAGGGTCTGCATTAAGGTCCACCAGTTAGATCTTAGGTAAAGGGTGCTTACATGACCATCATATCCAACCCTTTCACCTTACAGATGGAGAACTGAGCTTTGGAGAAGTCATTTAACTTGCCCATGGTCATCAGGAAAAGAAGCCCTACTTTTGCTGTTTCAGGGATCTGTAAACCTACTGGGTAAGCAGCATTCAGACTCCAAAGTAAATGTTGTGTTACTTCTAATTCATTACTATTTCTTTAATTTGGATCACAGACAGGAACCAAGGCCAAATAGCTTTACCCACTGTCAATCTGTGCTTCCAAATCAAAGCTCCTCTAACATCTATCAACTGACACAAGAAGTTCTGGGTATTCACTTAGGGTCATCCCTAAGCTTTACCTTAATCCTTTATCATAAGCTTTCTTTAGAAACATGTGGACATCTGTTACTATGCTGTTTCTTCTGAGAGGTAAGCTGGTCCTGAACAAAGGCAGACGTGGGCATGCAATTTGAGAGGGACTTTAAGTCTGTCTTGCTCAGAAGCATCTTCTTCTTGGGCCTTGTCTTGACACTGCTCTCCCTTCCAGCCCAGACTGAGACTCTCACTGGGGTCCGTAGACTAGATCACTAGACTCGTTATCTCTTAAGAGCCAGAGCAGAACTGTTCTCTTTCTGGTGTCTCCTCTGCTTAGTTTAGGGGAACAAAATTTGCCACCCCCAAAGTATCTCTTTGGCATTCAGATTATTTTGAGCTGAAAACAATCAAGGCCCAAAAGACATAGAAAGAAACTTTGGCCTCCCTCCTACCTGCCTAAAATACTTTAGATAGAAGGCCTATTTCTGGACTAGAGCTATTACCAGAAATGTCTGCCAAGAATATGGGCTAGATGTGGTGGGGAAACTGCAGGGCCCAGAGATCAGAGTCCACTCTGTGTCCCATTGTCTGTACAGAGCCCAGCAAACATTTGTGCACCAGACATTTGCTTTTCCATCTCCGTGTCTTCCTTGGAGATGCCGTCCTTCCCTTTTAAGTCCCAAACATCCTCTTTTGTCTTTAGCTGAAGATGGTATTTAATGTGAGGGCTTTGGCCATCTTGGCGAGTCACTCAGTTTTCCTGGCTCTCTCACATGTATACATGTTATTGCACTTTTGTTTGATTGTTTCTTGTTAATCTGTCTCATGTCAATTTATTCCTTAGACCAGCCAGAAGAAGACAAAAGCAAAGAGGAAAATTCCTTCCTCCCCGACATTGACACAATGAGCACAGATGCATTTGGGGGTCATTTTGAGTTAAACTGAAATGACTGATCTGCAGAGACTCCAGTGAAAACAGCACAAGGGAGAAAGGAAGGGGCCTTGGATAGAAGGGAATCACTGCCTTCTGGTCATTCACCAGCTCATAACTTCACTTCTGGATTGAACATATTTAACTAGTGGCTACCTTGTTCATAATAGAATGCACATGAGCCTGACGGACACTGGCTAGGAATGGAATTTTTGGTGGCTGAAGTCAGGCTAAGGGCATGCATGGACAGAAAACAAAGAGTTTTCCAAAGGTTGGAACATGCAACTGTTGCTGAAGGGTAAGATCTAGTTGAAAGGATGAAAAAAGAGGCTCAACAGAGAGGAAAGAATGATTAAAATGGAAAATTCTGAGAGGAAACACCATCACTGAACTCCAGTCTTTTATCCTAAGATATATGGTAACTGATGAAAACAACTTATGTTGAAACTTTATTCATTTTTTCATAATTGTAAATAACAAAACAAGGTGATAAATTTCTCTCATGCTGCTGAAAACTGAGATGTAAATGTCTGAACATTTAGAATATAATAAGCAAGCTAATTAGAGATGTTTATCACTGGAATGAAAACAAAACAAAACAGGAAATTCGGTACCTATAAAACAGACAACACAGAGGTAATTTTCTTAGTAAGAGATTTCTACTAAATAATTATATACTAATAAATCAAAAATTATTAGCTTCATCAAATTTGGATTTAATTGCAACTTTCTGGAAATGGATTTCTTATTTGAAAAGGAGGCTTTCTTAAGCAGATCAATGACTGAATTGCATTTGAGTTCATGACATCCTTTTAAAATACAACACAATTATGGGTATATAGTCATGCATGAATAGTTTCCTACTACACTTACTAAATTTCAAAAGCCTTAAAGGATTCAAACGTTTACAACGTGAACATTGTTAGCAGGACTTCATATAATCCGTTGAAATGTGATTGTGGTCATATTTTGATTTCTGCATTTAGAATGTTTTAAATGCCATTTAAATCTCTTCTTACTGAATGTGTAATATTTAGACCATGGATTCCTAGAAAAGATAGTGTTGCCTTGTCAAGACACCCTGGCTGTTTTTGCTTATACATATTCTAGGATTTGAAAGTGCAGTTTGCTTGCATATTTAGAATGCTGTAGCTTAAATTACAGAGTTTGTGGTTAGCAATAAAGAAATATCACAAATAGAATACAGTAAAATATGTGCTGTTACTTAAGCACAGTGGGTGTTTTCAGAATGGACTAGATTTGCAAAGTTCACAGTAACACTGCTCTTTTCCCATATGGCTAATCCTTCTTATTTAATTTGTGTTTCTAAGCAAGAGGCAAAGAAAGGGGAAGAAGAAGGTTCAGGAAGGCAGAAGAAAATTGAATGAAAGTGAACGCATCCGTCCATATGATTAATGAAGGATATATTTACTGCTTTCACACTTAACAGTAACAAAAAAAACTTCCTGAGCTCAGTTTGCCTTTCACTTGCATGTGTGAAGGGAAACTCCTAAAACATACAACTGAGGGCACATTAAGTCGTTTCTCATTAAGGAGAAAGAACTAAATGTTCCTCATAAAAACATTATTTACATCTCAATAGTGCTAATAGCGGTTTTATGAATAGTGAGGACAATTTGTTCAGGATACCTATATAATCCTTGGGAATCCTACAGTCAACATTTTAAATTGCATAATTAATTTTACATCCTTGATTTATTTTTTCTTTTTGCAATCCTAGCAATTCTTTTGAAAGCTTCAGTCTTATAGTCAAAAAAGAACCGTGGCCAGATTGTTAAAATATTCAGCTACCGTAGCAATGTTCCAGCCATCTGGAAGGATTTCTGATAGTCAGCAGCTTGGAGTAGGAGCAGCTAACAATTAGCCATGTCTGGTTCGTCAGTATGTGTGTGCTGGGGCGGGGGGCAGGGGGTTATGGAAAACATCCCTGTTGCATAGTATAGCCAAATTACGTAGAGGCATCAGATGTTGACTAAAAAAAATCCCTCAAACTCTTCCTCTCTGAATTTCTTTGTATACAATTTAATGTCAGAGGAATGTATCTCTGTTGACAGATGTTGACCGTTATGCGTAATATTGGGCTTTCTTCCATACAGATTTTGCTTTTGTTGAACCAAGGGAAATGATAGTCTCATCTTTGCTTTTCCATTCTTCCTAACATAGCTAATCTCACACATCGTGAGAGAGATCTTGGCAATACACTGTTATTCCAAACAGCGGCAAGACTCAAACAGTTATCTTAACATTTACTTGTGAATAGAATTTGTTTTGAGTTGTCTTTTTTTTTTTTCTCCATTCATTAAAATATCTGGCCTTTACTTAGGTGTTCCCTGGGCAAATTAAAACTTTGACAAGGAAACTTTACTGGAATACAAATGGCAGCTGTAGAGTAAATGGAACCCTGAAAGACTGTTCCTTTCAATACTTAAGCCTACACAGGACTACGTAAGTACAAATGCAGTAATCGTCTCATTAATTTGATCAATACAGTTAACCAAACCATACATAGAAACTTCAGTGTGATGAGAATCACAGAAAATCGTCTGCATCAATCAAATGCACAGGATGACGAGGTAACCCTTCCATCTGCCTGGCAGGCAGAGCCCTGATACCCACATATTGCGACTCCCCATCTTTTTAAATGATGACATCATTGCCTACTTATTTACAGAAATACAACAAACAATAACCAAATCTCTGTTGATCAAAGGGCTTGGACTTAGGGAGGGATGACTTGAATATAACCTTTTTTTTGCACCTTTTGATAGAAAAGTAACACTTACACTATAGTGTCTATTTTTCTTTCACAATAATATATTGAATATCATGTGAACCCAAGATATGGACCCCCAAAAAATATCTAGGAAAGAGCTAAGACAATAATTGGTCTGATCCCCTTATTTCATTGGTGAAGAAACGGACGTACAGAAAGGTGAATTAACTTAGTCAAGGACACAGGAATTTAATGACAGGACTGGGAAACAAAAGTCCAAGCTTCCTCCTAGGCCCATCATGATATCTGTTCCATGGTGAGGCCTACCTCTTTTACGATTTCATGTTATGCAGTATCATATATATATTACAGTAATTTTTTTCCCTCACTGTATGATGACATAGGAGATTAGGTTCAAGGACTATTCAAACAAATAGTGGAAGTTATCTCTATTCAGTCCCTAACATGAAATCCCTTCTTGTCATCTGTCCCTTTTAGGTGATTTTGTGGGGTCAATGACAAACCTAATTAATTGAAGTGTAATATATTCCATTGCTCACTCTAGAATTAAAAATTGAAACAGCTTACCTGTTCTAACATATATGCATTAGAGGTCCACTCCAAGTATGAATTCAGTTTTTTTTAAGCGAAAAATAAATCAACACAGGAGACATACCTTCTACTATAACATGAAAATCATGAGTGGCTGATCCCAAGAAATTGTTGGCTGTGCAGCGATAGCTTCCTTTGTCCTGGTAGGAGACATTCTCTATCTTCAAAGTGTTGCCATCATTTACTTCTGTTTCTTTTCCCTTTGGTAAATCATCACCCATTTTGTTCCAGTCAACCTGTGGAGTTGGTCTGCGAAGCAATACATAAATAATAAACATTTTTCAGAGTGAAAAATAAAATATAAAGAAAACCACAGGACACGCCCTTCACTGTGTTGCTTTCAGGTCTGCACCCAGACTTCCGCTGAAAAACATCAGCCTTCCTGGTGCGTGGACTGGCCACCACCATCAGTGGTGACTGTCAGGGCTGGATCAAGTCTCCTTTATTACAAGTTCCTGTCATAGTCTGCTTTCTCATAAATCTTCTGTTTCCTCCATTAAGAGGGCTACGTCCATGTACGTGCTGAACAGGTATGGTTAGATGAAGGCTGGACGATTGTGAGACAGGAAGGAAAAGGACATGGCACAACCATCAAAGGAATGACACAGCAGTTAACACCAAGATGGCAGAAAATTCAACTCCCAGTAGACCTAGAAGCAGGAGGTTTGACTTCTAGGAGACCTTGAGCTTCATTATACACTCACTATAATATATTAGCAAGGTAAATGGCACTCCCACAGGCATCATGCAAGTTCTGATGATAGCCGCAAAAGGTCAAAAAGTGGGCAGTGGCCCAGTTCCTGGGAATCCCAGCCCTTTCCCCCAAGCAGCTGGAATAACCCTCCCTTTGTTAGCATATGAGGTTACCGAGCCCATAAAGACTAGCAACACCGCGCCTCATGGACTCTTGCTGTGTCACGCTCCGAGATGGCCCACACCCTGTCTAAGAAGCATGTGTCTGCTTTTACATTAACCACATCCCCCCCACCCGCCATGCCACAGGGCCTCTCTGGCCTTCTGAGGTGGCCTACACTGTCTTTGGAATATGCATCTCTCTGAATAAATCTACCTTTACTCAACTATGGCTCGCTCTTGAATTCTTTCCTGCATGAAGCCAAGGACCCTCACTTGGAGGGGTGCAACCCAGGGACTCAACGGAGACCTGGGACACGGCCACCATCTCATTCCCTGTTTTCCTGTATCAAATGGACCCCAATAAATATTACAACATATTTTTCAGTGTGCTATCTCCCTGTGGGTGGTTTGAAAAGGCCAGAAATAACAACCCTCTTCCCTGTATGAGTTTGAAAAATAGGATCAGTAAGAACCCAGAGTCAGCAAACAGAAGTCACGATACCCCCTTTATGCCTAATGAAGCTGCTCCTGGAGACTGGCTTAGATGTGGGGCCCGATGTGCTTGCTGGACCTAGGATCCGCTCATGTTAGAGCAAGGTGGGCTCTGCAGCGCAGACCTGGCTGGCCAGGGCTTCCGCCCCCTGGTGGGGAGTGTGGGAAGAGAGAAACCAAATCTCCCTTGCTTACAAAGATTAGAGCACTCAATCAAAAGAGACAAATGATAAAAGCAAAAAACAAGACAAAAACCGAATTGATACCTTGTCACACACCAACACAGTAACATTTCTCTACCTTAGGTGGGTGGAAAACAAGGAGGAGGAATCAGGCCAGCTGGGTTTAAAAACAGAAAAATCCCATCTCGTGAAAACCAGACAAGTGGAGAGAAGGACTTTCTATGACTCGTGTTTTAACAGTTGGGTGGAACACACCAGTGGCTGGTTTTAACTGATGGATGATTTCTTTTTTCTCTCCTCTCTACTTGGGCTACATGACTGAGTGGAAGAAACAGCTCTGTTGTTTTTATTGATGGTGTTCCTCCTTCTCACTATACTTCTTTTTATCATTAATGCAGGAAGTTATGAGTTTGTTCTAAATGTGGGCACTACTATCATCATTTTACCAGTGAGGATTCTAAAGTTCAAAAAGTTAATTAATTTGCTTAAGGTCACTGGGGTAATAAATGACATATTAGACCTTGGAATTTCACTATACTTGGTCTTTTTACCAGTGTGTTCTATTATATTTGGGCTTTTCCCATCCCTTTTCTTTGTATATACTTGGAATATATGCTTGTAGCCAGCTTATTTAGTTACTTGTTAATAACTGAACAACTACCTTCAAATTGTTTCTGTCAATTATCTCCAATTGTCTGTATCGTTAAGCAGTGGTTAAAATAATTCAGTTATTAAGCAAAACAAATATTACAGGTAAAAAGGAAGGTCTTTACACACATCTAGTCCCCTCCCCTGCCCAAGGCTCAGGTGTACCTGCTGTGCAGAGCTGAAGCACTACCTTTTCTGTGACCAGGCTCAGAGCACATGGCGCCTCCTACAGGAAACAGGAGCGAGGCGCAGACAGGCAGCTGTGACAGTGCATCAGCTGCTGGCTTCCCGAGCACACGAACAGCCCACGTCTCCTAACGACTTGCTTTTGCATTCCGTCTGTCAAAATGGCAATTTGCCAAGCTGCAGGCTGCTCTGGACCTCAGGTCCTCCAAATCAAGAGTTTTTGTTTTTTGTTTTTTGTGTGAGTCTATGCTTTCATAGTGCAAGCATCTCACTTTCCACAAAATCTTTTTTTTTTTTAATCGCCAGTCCTTGGAAACTAGTCTAATCCTTTAATATCTATTCCTTGAAAGAACAGAATTATTACCCTGAAGTATCACAAGACCATGAGACTTAATCTACCAAGGGACACATCTATATCATGGCAAGAATGGCCAGTTATAGTCTTGCTAATTTTTTCTTTCCATTTTAAAAAAAAAATTGAGAAAATTTACTAACATCATTTGAACAATAAAGTTTTGAAGGAGAAAATATTGGTTAATCCATTTTTAGACATAAACATACACCCTGACATCATGTCAAATGTTTGGGTCTTTGGTCAACTTCTGTTCTTAAGCTTTCTTTGTAATAGAATCATACCTGGATTAATTCATGAATTTAGAAAATAGAAAATTTTAGCTCAACGATCAGCAGAGGGAAGCCACGATACTGCCTTTAATCCCAATGAAGCTTTCCCCAGGTGTGAGTGAGCAGGAGCTGGCGCGTGCAGTGGTCTTTCCACGGAGGGACTCACCTTCTGTGCTTCTTCTGGGGAGTCAACACTTTTCTCTTTTGAATGAAATTCACAATGTCATTTGAACTATTCTCAATGTCCACCTTACTCAGAATATACAGAATCTAAACCCCTCAGCATTTCCCTGCAAGTTTTCTCATTTTAATTAATAGCATCAACATCTTCATTATTACTCCTCACTTTCTCAAGTATCTAATACATCCCTGTTTTTTAGATTCAGGGGCAATGCCATCCTTTGTTCTCGCTTTTTCTTCTGCCCCATCTTTAACTGAACAGAACAGTTCATTTGGCTAAAATATGGTGAAGAAGTTAAACTTAGGAGTAGTTTAGGGTTCTAGAGACAGTCAGGATGGAATCCTAGCCTCCACTGTTACACTAAACATGCAGAAGTGAATTTAACACTCTGGTCTACACTGGCCTCACCTACAAGTGCGAGTAACTGTCATAAACCGTAGAGAGGATACAATGAACACATGAAGTGTAAAACAATGTGCCTGACACGTAGTAAATAGTACAGTGTTGTCTTACTTATAATTACACTTGTTACTACAGAAGGCTTACCATTCAAAACTTCTTAGAAGAAACGTTTTCAAGTATTCTAAAAATTTTACAATGTATCACTCTTACTTGAAAGAGAACCAGATCAGATAAGATTCCCAACCCAACCCACTATGAGTAAGAAACCACTTCAGGTGAACCTCTTCAGACAAGGCATCAGGAATCCTCAAGCCCCAAGGACGACACATACTGAGGTTCACTTTCTTTTTCTACATTGCTTCATGACACTGCTTTTTCCAAAAAGCACATGAGAGTCATTCTATTATATTGAAAACCATCTGGGCAGTTCTCAGTCAACTCAAGAGGTAGATTATGGCATTTGTGGGAAATACGGGGGGAAAAAAAAAGGATTATTGGTATGTTCTTCCTGCCCAAAGAGTCAATCAAGAACAGTGATGAATTCTCAAAGAGTTTAACTTCTAACACTCTAAACCTGTATATGGAAGAACAAAAGAGTATGCAGTTACCAATGTGATTCAAACTGAATCTGGGGCTTCCATCTCCTCACCTAATACAGAGACCAGACTTCCGAACTGAGGCCACATCACTGCACTTCTAATTCATGTATACCAATACACTGGCAATTTAAGACAGATAAGCAACCTAGGTATCTTTGCTGGATGGAAAGAGAAATTCACAAAGCACAGGGGTTGTAAAACCATTAACACCTACTCCTTTTCTCCACAACCCAATTTAAAAACCAGTCATTCAGAATATACACTGAAATATGAATGAGTACGAATTTCAAATCCTAGTCCATGAACCAGATGCCCAGCTATAAAAAGTCCTTAGTTTACAAACTGACTATGTAAACTCTGGTGTGAAAAAGTGGAATGTATTCTCCCATGGTTCTCCTAAGGGCAGGGATGGGTTTGTGTTGGTAAACACAGGAGGAGGATGACAGGAAACAGGAGACCTTGTATGAACAGGCAGTAAATGAGACGGTCCTTGTTTACATAGACTTACGGTAGTTACTCAGTATAAATGTCACTATTTCAAGAGGTGACCAAGCCAAGATTCCTTAGGCTTTTCTGGGAGGATTTGGAAAAATGCACTGCTTTTTCAGGTGTAAAAGATGTGCAGGTAATTAGGTCTGATGTGAAACTTTCTTAAATTGTGTGGCCTGGACCTGCCTGTGTGCACAGGACAGCAGGGTGAAATAACAGAAAACTGGACTCTGTGGAACCTGCAAAAGCGTAACCAGCAGGAGCAGGACAGGACGATACAACCGAGGGACAAACACCTGGCACCAGTAGTGATGCGCTGCCTTCTGACAACCTCAGGCTCTAAGGACGGCAATCCCCCCGCTTCCTTTGTCCACTGAGGTAGAGAGAACGGTGTCAATGTCACCTCCACTCACACTATCACAACCTGACAGAGCGACCTAATTATAAATCAGTCTCAGTCACAGCCTGCAATCTGGAGAGTGAAGTGCAAATTACTTTCTCCAGAAACGTAGTAACGGGATTTTTTTTTTTTTCAAGAAATCATTTAAGGTGCATGCAGGCACACCTTCACTGATACCTTACTCTTTACAGAACTGGATGGACAAAGTCATGAAAAGGAGTCAAGTTACTCACAGGCCTTCAGCAAAACACTCCAGCAGCAGGGTGTCCCCTTTGAGGATGGTGACTGAGGACTCACTGCCACTCTCGGGAGGAGGCAACAGCAGCCTGGGTTTTCTTTGCTTGATTGAATTTGCTACAAAACAGAACAGAAAAGTCTCAGATTTCTTTTTTTTTTTTTCCAAAGAGAGAGAATTAAACTCCTTTGGCACTAAATCTTTCTTAGAACCCACTTAACCATATGGACCTGTGTGTGTGTATATTTATACACACATTTTAATATATTTTCACACATTTATTTCACACATTTTAATATAGTTCCATTTAAACAGACTCCACTCTTACCATGAAGCATTGGTGGCCCTTCAGAGTTGTATCAAGTTTTATAAAGGTTATGATTTAAACCACATCTTCAAATTCAGAAGTTCAAACACTGTTCAGGAAGATGTGTTTCCTGATGGAAGCCCTTGAGTTAACTGACAGTCTGTGGTTTTACATTCTACATTTTAATCATACCTGATCACGTTTCTTGGCTATGTATATTTTTCTTCAATTTAATGTGCCTAAATATTTGACAAGATTCCTGTTATAATACAGCTTCCTAAGCCCTGCACCAAGAAATTGGGATTCAGGACGTCTGTGGTGGACACCCGGCACGTGTGACTGTGTCAGGCTTTTCAGGTGATGCCTTGTAGTCTCCGTCCCTCAGAGACAAACGCTGTTGTCGGGAACGATTAGCCAGCACTCTCCTTAACTGCATAAGGAAGAGTTCCATTTCTCATTTTCTGAAGAGCATGTTTCAAATATGATGGCAAATTTCCATTTTCAATGCAAATTTTTATTTCATTTCCAAAACACAAATTGTGTTCTACATCCAACGTTAACGTGATATGACACGCAAAGCTGACGTGCTGTTATCGGAATAGACGAATGAAAGGCACTGGGAGACGTGAGTACCTTGCTATAGCTTCCTTACACGTGTTTATTCGTTGAAAAATCAGTTAAACATGTATTATGTGCAATGGTTTTTACTGAGTGCTGGCAAGATACATCAATACCTGTTTGTTACTGACCTCAAAGAAAATGATATTGGCCATATATACTTAAAAATAGCGTTTTCAAAGTGGGGGTGCACCCAGAGGAGCCTTCATCCAGCCCTGCCGATGTTGTCAGTGCATTAGGTATGTAAGTTAGTATAGAGGATTCCATGCTGGTCCCAATTATAAAAGGAGTATTTTTTGCATTCATGCATATTTGCACATTCTCTTCTTTATGGAAAAAGAAACTACTATTTAATTCAAGTTTACTGAGGTACCTTCCATAGAACACTAATTCTGAGAGATGTTCTAAGGAAAAAAATTAAACAAACAAACGAAAAAGTTTCAGAGACAGATGAGTTTGGAAAATGCTGCAAACTATATTCTTTCTCAGAAAAGTCACAACGGACAGTTGCATATTAAGTGTTATGAGACGTCTCGCAAAGAAAATAACCATTTAACTTTCTTAAACCCAATGCTTTCTCTACCTCTGTTGACATCCAACCATTTCGTTTTCCTTTTTTCATGTTATAGCTCTGAATCAAACTGCTGATCAACCATAAGAGATATTTTGAAAGACCCAGAATAATTACTCCATTAAAAATATAGTTACACATATGCATGTATTTATCTGTTAATCACCTATAAGTAGATGGGAATATTTGTATAGTTATGCATTTATAAATATCACCCTTTTGCATATATTTAATGAGTATGGGAGGCAACTGAGCCCTCTATGCTAACAGATTTTCCTAACTAGGAATACTGGTGTTTTAATAAACTCATGAAGGTATTAAAAAAAAAAAAAACTCTAATCCTGACAATGAGCCACTATAGGTGAAAATAAATGTCAATACTTTACATGTCATCAACTTACCCTTCGAACCAATTTCTGTGGATGAACTTGAGTCATTAGCATGCTTTACTGAAATTAAAAAAGATGGAAGAAAAGAATTCACAAACATAACGGCAGATGCTGACATCAAAACAGAATGAAAAGTCACAGTTTTCTCTTAGAAAAATTACAAAATGAGATACAACCAAGGCTTCACTAGAAACACCATCTTTGGGGACACAGTTGCAAATTATTTATAATGAGCTTAATTTTGAACTACCACAGATGAAATCCAGGTGGAAACGGTACAAATTATAGCTCCATTAAAGAGAACTGAGATTACCCGAGGATGCCACAGTGAAGCCCTGGCACAGGGTATCTACACGTAACAATGGAAAAATCATGAACCAAATTAGACAATGGAGTGGTCATGCCAACTTTTGACTCTGCTAGAGTTATTAATTATTCAGTCTGAACTCTTGGGGATTCTCTCTGCCCTTTGAATCTTATTTTTTTTTTCATCCCGCTAATAATGGCTGTTTTCAAACATGGGAACCCAGACTGGCATCTGCAGAATCAAGTAGGAAAGAGAAGCAATTCAAATAACTTTGCCAATCTGAGAAGGACAAAAGAAGCCTGAAGGATAAAAATTGTAATATTGCTTCTTTCTATTTTTGAATTTATTCCTTTCTCCCACATTTTCAGCCTGCAGGTTAATCCAAAATCACAGATATTCAGAGCCTGAGACTTGCTTAGAAAACCCTGGAATTTCATTGTGTATTCTGCCCAGGAAAAATGACTAGATCCTCCAGACAGCAAATAAAATACGTTTGTGCTATGAACTGAGATTTGACTCTGGCTGCAGGAGACAGAGCTGCTGCAGATGTGCAGCTGCAGACGTCTCTTTCATCTGGATGAAGTCTCTAGAGTTGAACTAAACAATGGTGGAAAGTGTCAACTCAGCTTTAACTGGCTTCAACTGGAATAAAATTACAGACGCATTTGTATTCCACATTCACGAAGGGACCGTACATTATTTGGACTTACAACTGTTAACTGTTAGTTTCATTGGCATTTTCTGCACAATAGTCCTTAATCTTGGGAAGGCAGCAAAGCAACAGTAGTCATTCCGACTGTCTTTTTCTTCCACATTTGCGAAGTACAGGTCCCCCTTCTGGCTCATGTATACTCTTTCATCTTGTTTGATGTGCTCTAATTCTGGAAAGAAGTATTGTGTCATTAAAAGGGGCAACTGTCCTTTATTGTGCCTCATCTTTTTTTTTCCCCATTTTCCTCTCTTTTATATTATTTCAATTCATCTTATTTTCCATGTCAGCTCTCCCTATTCCTCTCAAGTCTGGTCTTCCTATAGAACCAATGAGTCATAGTAAGAAGTTGAAATTAACAAAACAAAACAAAACACAACAAAACCCTTGGAAGCATGCCTTTCAACGTTAACCAGAGAAGTCCCCTGGTGGACAGTCAGTCTACACGTCCTCCCTCTCCTTACCATCCAGGACTCTGCTTCTGCTCTATGGGCCTGCATTGGCTTAAACTGGCCCAATTCAGATAATGGCCTAATTGTTACTTTTATTTCATTAGGATCACATTTCTTTAAAACAGATCTCCCCCAAAGTGTGTCTGAGATATTAATCTCTCTTCTGTGAATGCAGTCTGGAAAATTCTAGGATGGATGGAGTCTGGAACATTTGGCTGCAGCCCAAAGTAGCTACTTTCACTTCCTTCCAAGTACTGTATAATTATTATTTTTCTCCGTGGGCCAC